ATTTTAAAAATGAGTACATAAATTTCTACTGAGGCTACTACAATGGGATTCATATTATAGCGTGATGGCACAGTCGCAAAGAGGCCGTCTTTGAACACCTACACGAATCCACTGAAATGGCGACCTTCGATTTGACCGATAATTCTGTTGAGCAAGGATTTGGCCTATTGTCGCCTTAAAGTAATCTGCAGAAAAATGAGTAGTAAGTCGATGACTCGCGAAAAATAGGTTCAGTATGGCACTCCTCTCTAGTCATGCCAGAATGAACATACAGCATAGTTCTGCTGAGCAACTTCAGCATTTTCTGCGATTATAATTCGCGTTTAAAAACCAGATAGCCAACTATTCGTTGTAGTAACCGGTACAAGATATATCCACGATTTCGATTTAACTATTTCTCATGCCATTTAGCACTCTGATAGAATAGTTATATGAATAAGAAAGATTTGCGTGTTAAATATCAAATGCAACCTGCCGTTACATTTGACTATATTGTAGGTGTGCGCATGCTTCTTGATGAAGTGTGGTTACATTAATTTCCTGAGTAGTCTGTTTTCTGGTTGGCAAAATAAAATTATAATATATATGTACTTTAAGATGTAAACTCCTTAAGGAAGGCTTGTATTAAACATGTTTTCCACCTTTATTATTGCTATTTCTTTCTATGTATTGTGTTCTTTACCATGTATGAGAGAAAATGGAGTTATATTTCAAATCTGATTCAGTAGCTAAAGAATTCATTATATATTCTCTTAAACGTAATATTTAAATACTGCATGCTGAATTGTACCTCAGGATTCCAGGTTATTCATTAAATGTGTGTGGTCATGCATAGACAAAATATAATAATCATGTTGTGGCTTTTACAAAAATTAATTAACAGAAATGTAAGCTAATTCATTTGCAGGATTAGCCGCAAAACTAACATACACTTCGTTTAAATTATTAACTAATTTTCATTTAAAGGCGCTAATGCGTTTCCTTGAAACTTAATGTGTTCTTTGTATCATTCTTCTTTTAACATAATGCGAAATCGAACAGCTAAACAACCTTAACTCCTCGTCTTTAGCACAGAATTAGTGCCGATAATTAAGTTCAAGAGCTATATTTCTTTGATATTATTTAGTTAAAGTAATTAGTCTTTTTCGCATAAAAAATTTTTAATGAGCAATTTTCAGCAACAATTTTTCAGCCTCGTCCCGATGAACCAGTATGAAGCTTTCAAAAAACTAGGTTTTGGTGCAAAGTTTGATTTCAAGCGATTTCGACGAGATGCCGAACGTTTACATGTAAGTTAGACACCTATTGAAGTGGAGTTAATTATGACATTTAATTGTTAATTGTTTTATCATAATATATCAACAACCAATCTACATGTAGCCTACATCTCTGTACTGCTGCTTCATTGTTGGCTAGAGGTAAAGCATTATCTTTTTACCTCGTTTCTAACGTACCGTGGAGCAATGGTCTGCTTAAATGCATCCCCATATGCAGTTAGTAGCCGGGTGATGGCGAAACACCTGAAATTAATCGGTTTTGATTAGATGCGTGCTGACACGTTCTTCGGATTACTAACCGATAATTTATTTTATTTCACGAAGCATTAAATGAGTGCTAGCTCCAGAAACATTCCTTGCATTTCGGAAGGTTTAGAAATGATAATAAGCCCGATCTCATGGGTTTATTAGCATACTTCTAGCTATTGATATCGCCGCTAAAAGAAGTTACACTTTCTCTTTTGATACCGGATTGAAGCGGCGTGATGGCACCGTCCCCTTGCTTCTAG